TAAATATTCCTCTATAATGCTGGCATCCTTATAAGTGAATATGAGCTTCATAATGATATGATATATCTATTGAATTCACGAACTCAATCTCAGAACTGGAAGGGAAGCTGGAACTCCAGAAGTTAAAAAAATATATATTGTAGTTATGATTGTACTTTGGTGTATAAGGTGTTTTCAATAATATCCAGGACTGTCTTCTTAATAATGTGTTGTAATATACAGATTCTTAAATATTTGTGTAGTCTTTGACCTAGAAATTTCATTTCCAATGGAAATAATGTAAAGCACATACAAAGCCCCATGTCATTATTTACAATGTAAGAGGAGTGAAGAAACCTCAATGTCCATTCATGGGATGAAATATTCCTTAAAATACTTTGACAAGAATTTTACATTTTAAATATCTAATTTATTATATTATATATAATAATGCCAACTTTAAAGTGATATGCCATGAATAAAGGTGTAGTGACTAAGTAACAGTCAGGAATTTGGGTTTCTTAGGTGTGACCTGTCACCTGAAGGATAGGACTGTGTTAATATTAACTGAAAGGAAAACTATCTTGGTGTAGGCAGTAATTATCTCTGAGTAATGGGATATGATTTCCATTTCCTTTTTATGTTTTTATATTTTTAAAATTTTCTACACTAAACACACACGAATTTTATACTAGGAAGACAATCAATGCTGCGCTAATAGCAAAAAAGTTAGCTCAAAATCTTAACACTGACTTTTCTTTTGATTTCATTTCTATTCCTTATAAATGTAGAAAGCGTATTATTCTTGAGGTGAGAGGCTGGGTCTTAGTCTCCATGTTCTGCTCCTTCAACAGATAATCCTCCAGGGAGAGTCCTCCAACCTCGAGGACATTTACTGGGCTCGGTGTTTTTAGGTTACAGTGCCATCTATGGGACGTAACTGGCATAACTGTTTGCTGCCATTTGCAAATGATGTGAAATGCACAATTATAACATGATTTTGTGATACGGGCAGTTAATTACTCAGTTATCCCAAGGATTTTGCTATGGATGAAACTCAGATCATCCGCTCACCGCCTGGGTTCATTGAAATAACTTCCCTGCTGATCTTACCAGCAACCTCATCCCCTTCCTGTCTATACCAGAGCAAACTTCACAAGTTATTTCCAATTCACTGTTCTCCTTTAAATATTTCAATAGTTCTCCTTAACTTTCAGATGAAAATGGAAATTTCTTGGTGTGTCCTACGTATTCAGGCCTCTGATTTCGTGTCCATCCAGCCATCTTCCTTCATTCCCCACCCTTACTCAACTACTTCTGGTTTTCAGAAGGAGCTAAGGTCTTTCTCCACGTTCCCTGTTTCTCTCCCTCTCTCCCATTCTGTTCTATTGGCCTGGAATGCCCTTCCCATTTCTTCACCTGGCTATGTCCTATGGGTCCTTCCAGACTCAGCTCAAAAGTCATTTCTTCTGAGAAGCCTCACAGACTCCACTTGTCTCCGCCCCGTCTCTTCTCCCATAGCCTTCTTCTCTAACACTTGTCCTACTGTATTTTAACACTTTACTTCCTCTTGCATCTGACTGTGAGGTCCTTGATGGCAAAGACTCTAGTTCTCCTCTCTGCTCCTAACACTTATTCACAGGTAAATAGTGAAATGCTCAAAAAACACGATGAATGAATGAATGAACGTTGGAACTAGGTTACAGTAGTTCCTATACGGTTCCTTTTCTCATTTTTCTTCATGTATAAAAGGGAGATGATAAGCTGGGTTAAATGAGAAAATGTTTGAAAAACTATTAGCATAATGCTTGGCACATAATAATAAATATATTTTAAAAATTCCTCTCTCTTTACAACCCCTATCTAGTTTTATGTTCCCCATGCTTAGTGGCTCATGCCTCACTGATACCAGTCCCCAACCACTCAGTGACTCCCTATTAAATACACAAAGGAAACTTCCCAGTCAACCAATATTTGTGCTGATCCCATGTGTGCACTGTGACTTTTGTACCAACACTTCACCATCACTCACCACACAAATTCACTGTCTCCCTATTAAGTGCACATTCAGCATCTCTCTTACCTTTAACTCAGTCATCTTATTAATCACAGAGAAACTCAGCTCTATGGGTTTCTAGCCAAAGTATGGTCCTATTTTTAAGAAAAAAATTTTCAACGCTTAGGGTAGATCTTTTATGCCAACAACAATAAATACAAGTAGTCCTCAATTTTCATTTGTTCCCTTTCATTTGACTCACTTTATCCACATTATATATGAGCACCCTTTCATTGCCTTTCTGATGCACAGTTCAGCCTACATATGAGCTAATGAACAATCACTTTTGTGCTGGCACATGATGCCTGCCAACGGTTCAGTACCAGACAATTGCCATCCTTATCTATAAAACAATTTATTTGTATAATTATTGGATGGTTTTAATACTTTTTCCCTTATTATTTTAAAACATAATAAGACACCTCATGAATCTTTTGTTTGTTCACTTTCTTAATAATCCACAAAAGCGCTGGCAAACCCCACTAGTAATTCCTTCCCAGTATGAATTCAGTTTCTTCAGTCTTACTGTTATTTCAAGTAAGATGAAATAGAATTTAAAGAAGTTGTCTTAGCAAATTAATTTTTATTGCCTGTATTTAATATTTATTCCATGCTTTAAAAATTGTAACAACCATTTACACATTGTAACATTTGAGAAAAAAAGTAAAAAATTACACCATATTTAGTGAAAATAAGTGTTGGCTTTAACTTTCAGATTAAAAATAGGAATGAGATTTTTCCATGTAGCATGTAAGTGTAATGTTTAGGGTTCACTTATTTGGTGTTAATGGTTGTTTTGATAAATATATTATGAGGAAAAGTAAAGAATTTTATCTTAATATTGGGAACTCTATTTTGCCCCCTGCTGTATGATTTTTTTTTTTTCTGGTTACTAAACATATACATAAGAAATAGAAGAAATGGTTTTGGAAAAAAAAAACTATCAATCAACCAATGGCTATAATGAAAGGTAATCTTATTATCAGCAGTCATTCTCAAATTTCCAGAAGTTTTAACTTTCATCTGAAGCATTTATTCTGCGTAAAATCACTTCCTCTGTAACATTTTAGAATTTATTTTATTTAGCTTTACCATAGTATTCTTTCAAAAAACACACGAGGCTGTTTTTTCAATAATTTTATTTTATTATTCTTTCTGCAAAAGGTAAATTTCTCCTGAAGTGTAATAGTCTTCATGAGTTTTATACTTTCATTTTCTTGCTAAGGGTGGTATTTACACGAGTTTTTCAAAGATCATTCAAAGGGCTGCTGTCTAGAGGCAACACTGTTGAAATGCAGACACTTCGTTTTAGGTGCTTGAGAGAATTTGACTATGTTCTTCACTTGCATAATTAATGAGTGGATGCTATGTACTAGATGTTCTACTAACACTGGAGATACAGAAATGAGAAAAGTATTGTCCTGTCTCAAGATGCTCACAGGCTGGCTGGAATAGGAGAAGTAGTGTGTTAATTACTGAAGGGAGTAAAGAAGGAGAGCTCGCTGGCAAACAGGCTAGGACGGTGGAAGAGATCAAGAAATGCTCCCAAGAAATGGCAATGCTTGAGGTGAGTGTTGAGAGGTAAGTAGGAAAATCTAAGTAGATGAGGGCAGTGAAGGGGGTTCCTAATTAGGGAACCAAGGGTTCCCCTTGCAGAATAAGAGAGGTATGAGAAAGTATGCCTTAATCTAGAAACTGCAAATAATCCGTACACCTCACCTCATGTAATGAAACGTTGTGGGCATTCAATGTACAAACAATTTGATTAACATGTAGAATGATTGATTAGAGTCACTTTAGGTAATGCAACATGGCCCTGCTCACCCCAGCGGTGATCTAGAGGCCCTCCCCAGCTTTGAGGCCAGCGAGCTCGCCTTGGAATGTTGGTGTTTCAGAAGATCCTGACCACCATATTAGGCTCTCTACTTCAGTGATCCGGCCACGGGGGTGTCTTTGTGTCGTGGTGATCAATAGCATAGCAACTGTCATGAGGACTCCTGAGGGCTGCCCCAGTATTGTCTCATAAAATAGGCCCAGGCCATTCACCAGCACCAAAAATGTCACTGGTTCCCCATTTTCTACCAAGTGAAATCCAAATCTCTAGTGGGCTTCAGGATCCTCTAAAACCTGCCTCTCACATATCCTTCCAGAAGTAAGTCAAAAGAATTTGATGAGTAAGAATAAGGTCTTTGGAGTGAGGCTGTCCTGGGTTTGAATTTTAACTCTGCTACTCACTTAAGCTCCAACATAAAAGTAACAATTTTCCTCAGCTTTAGTGTCTTCATCTATGACATGGGTGCAAGTCTTTCTACATAGTGTTGTTTTGAGAATTCAATAGGGTTATATTTTTTGAGTAATTAGTACAGCAAGCATCATATAAAATGGCTGAATATATAATAATTTTATAATTCCTATTTTACTTCAGACACTGTTTTTATTATATTTAATTTGACTGACTACTTAATATTCTCTGAATATATCCTGTATTTTTGGTTTTTATGCCTTCGAAATCCCTGTCAGACAAAATTCTAGTTGGCCTAGCTCAGATCTCACCATCTTCAAGGAGCCTTCGTCAATTCCCCTAATTGAAATTAATTATTATTTCCTTATTTCAACAGAAATTGGTGCCTCTGCTACAGGAACAGTAGTAATAATTTCCTTGAATTTAAGTCCAATAGGAAGAGAGAATATTTAATTCTATAACTTATATAACATCTTTAACAATTTCTGGAGTTTATTCAATTGATTTGTTAGTTTATAGTGAGCATTTACCAATAAAATAATGATTATTTTGAGAAATTCCAAGATTGACTAATAAGTGAATTATTCTGAATTTCTACTGACAAAAGAATCCATGCTCCCATATTAGATACATAATGATAAAGATAATAATCACCTAGTAACACAATGGGAAAAGATTTTTTGAATCTGTTTGTACTACATGCACCAAAGAGAAGATGAAATGTTTTCTGTCTTATCACATATTTTTTATTGCAGAAATATATAAAACATTATTACATTCAGTAATACATTGTAATCAGAAATATCTAATCCAAAAGAGGGAGTTTTTTAAAAAATAGCTTTTTTCTGAAACAAGTTTATAAATACTCTGTCTTCTTAATGTCATCCTTTCCCTTCACCTGATAAGACTTCTCTAAGAGAACTCATTTATTCATTTAATAATGCTATCCTTTCAAGTAATTCCATGGGGCAGAAGATAAGACTCAAACTATACGCTATTATGTTTATTTACTAAATCTCATTTCCTGGGCTTCTAGGTTCCTTTTCAAACCCTAACATAAGTGCTGCATCATCTTTATCTCCTAGATAAAGCAATACTCTAACTCTTAAGCAGTGAAGTGCTTTCTAATTTGTTTGAGATAATGTTTTTAAAATGCACCAGTTTCAGAGGCTTGAGTCATATGCGAGTGATACTGATCATCTTGGAATGATGGAGGAGCTCCTCCTCACTGATAATGTTGAGAGAGATAATGAAATGGTTCTGGTCTTGTTTCCATGGATAATGTGGAGGAAGCCATCCACCAGAGGTAGATTTCCTCTTCTGGAAGCACCCTTAAATCTTTGCATACTGATAGAGAGAGAGAAGAAAAGATTAACAGAAAAATGTTCTTAGTCTTCTCACAAGTAGTTTTATCTCTTTTTAAAATTTTAATCAGTTAAATGCTTGGTACTGTTTTATTCTTCATTTCTCAGATCTCATAGTATTTTCAGTTTTAATCCCATTAGCACCTTATATTTAATTATTCACTGTTTCATAATTCTTAGAATTATTGGCTTAATAGAATGCAAATTTCAAGAAATATCCACAGCAAGATATGTAACAGGATCAAATCCATACAAGATGTTACATGGCTGGTTGTTGATTGAATGTTAACATGACCATAGCACCAATGCTCCTTGGCTATCTTATGGATTTCAGCAAAATTACAGAGTAATGAAATGGAGCGAAACCTTGGTTGTGAACAACTAAAGTAAGGAATGACTGTAATGACTGGCATTTCATATAATTTGGAAAAGATTAGAAAACATAAATAACCTTTTGGCATTATGGTGTTTCAGCCATTTGGCACTTAAACTTCACAAAACCTATTTTGTTTTTTTGAGAGATGCTTTTTTTCCAATTAGGAAATAACAAAGATCATGCAACGGGCCAAATTGGATACTCTCCATGTATATTGAAGTTACGGTATTGAAAAGCACACTGGCCAGAGTACTGGAGCAATGAGTTCAAGGTTTTGTACCACAACTACCTGGTTGTGGTCATTTAACCTCTCTAGTTCTAAATTCCTTTTCTGTAAAATAAAAGAATTGGGCGAAAGATGCCCTAAATTCCACAAGAGTTTTATTTATAAAGGAACAAAATTAAGCAAGAAACACTACAATTATTTCCTTCCAAAAGGAATAAACCCTGAAAATAAGTTTATTTCATTTACATTATCTCACTAGTCACATTATAGTTACTGCTGCATAGTTTACATATTTTACAGAATTAAATAAAACTATCTCACTAGAATTTCTTTTTCTCAAGCCAGTTTTATGCCTACTAAAAATAAGCAACCTCTGCCTGTATTTCCATTTCAGTCATTCAACGTAAGTAACAGGGTTCAAAAGAAAAATGCAACTTGGTAATGGACTTAAATATTTTGTGAATTATTCTGGATAAGAACTCAAGGCTATATCCCCAGAGTTTTATTTTAAGTCTAGAAATGAATTAGAAGTTCTATGAAGACAGAAATCATGTCTGTCTTTTTTACCTATATATTCATAGAACCAAGACCAGCGCTCAACACATAGTAGCTTCTAAGTAAAATTGTTGAATATATGCGTAATTACAGAGGTGCTTTTGGAGAAAATCTGGTTGCCAAAAGAAAACTCTGTGACTCAGGTCAATGAAACTGATTAAACCATATTTCATATGGTTTTCTGGCATAATTAGCAAGATTAGGAAAAAAATTCTCTGTAAGGGGGGAAAACTCTAATACTTCCCTAAGAACTGTTTGTACTGTAATGTCATAATTTTTTTTGCTATTCTAAATTAATTTACAGTTAATGATATAAATCAATAAAGTGCAATAAAATCCATCCATATTGATTTATGTATATGCATATATATGCATATCTATACATATATATATAATTCCTTCTGATGAACCTTTTTCGGTGACGCATTCAGCTCGCAGCCTCTTTCCTGGTATTATATTAAGCATGCTCTAAATATTGGATATCTTGAGAAACTGTTTGAAGAGACCAATGACTTCAGATCTCTGATAGATGCTCCATCTTCCTTTTCAATTTCCTTTCATAAATGTACATTTAATTCACTTTTTCAATTAAAAATTTTAATAGAAATATTTCCCTAAAGATAAATATGACTGGTGAATACAGATAAGACTTCTTTTGCAGCCTCCAAGAGCAAGGGTATCTTGGTTTGTGTGACCCGTTCTATAGGCCTGAAGGCCTCTAAGATTCACCTTAGGAGTTAAGTGCTATTAGAAAGTATCAAAGGATGTAACACATTTTATTCAAGTTTTTTTGTGCATTATTTAAAATCAGAAAGAATTAAAAAAGGCTTATCTAAAGTGCTTAGCTATATTTACCCCCCAAAAGATAGAATCAAAGAGTGGCATTGAACTTAGAATATTTGTTGACTGTTAAAATGTTAAATATAGTCCATGATACATCTTTGATGGATATGTTGGTGATTACAAGGTGCAAGTTCTCTGTGTAGAATACTGACCGTAAAGCACGCACTTACTGTTGGGTGTAATGTATGTTACTATATCGTGTTACTCTGTGTCGAGATGTCATTGGAGATGTGGAACCAATGGTTTGGCTTATGTGAATGTCTGGACTCACCATTTGTGTCACTTGAATTTCTGGCCCTAACAAAATACTGCCACTCATCATAGGTCCCACACAGCCATCAGTCATGCTACTATTGCTCACGTCCCGCCTACCAGGACTAGACTGCACTCTCTCAGCATAGATGACATTGTGTGTGTTGGCTAACTCAGCAGGGACACAAATATTCCCTTGAACATCATAGATAGGTGCCATTACTGTTTCGGTTACTACAACATTGGGTGCGAGCTGAGGATCAAAAACAATTGTAGTGGGTTGCACACACTGATCAGCAGTAGTGTAAGTCTCAGTCACTACAATATCCCCGTGAACCACTGGTTCAGGTACTGCCATTTCTGCCTGGAATTCAGCCTCTGAGAGAGTCATCCCTGAAGATTCATTGACAAAATAATTAGGTCCAAGTAAAGGGAGGTCAGTACTGATAGGGATACAGGCCTGCTGTGAAGGAAATGGTTCTATTTCTGTGTTTAAGCAGATTTCAGCAAGAGTCCTAAATTTTGGGTCTAAAGTTTCCATGTCGCTTTCATCTAAATCATCCACAATCCAACTGCAGCAACCAATGGAGCCCACAGGGGACCCTGCTCCCTCGTGGTCATAAATGAGCAAGCAGTCATTTGCTGGTCGACCTTCATCTTCATCTGCATAAACGTATGCTTTCTAAAATTAGAAGAAAAATAGGGAATTAGAAGTTTCTTTTCTCTTAAAATAATCAAAGAAGAATAACAAAGCTTTAGAGACGTTTGATCAAAGAAGATTTTATGGGATGAACTGAGAAAAACACTGACTCTGCTATATTTCTAAAGAATTGGAATTTTTAGAGGTGGTCAGTGTGCGTTAATGGTGCATAGAATTTGAATAAATTTGAAAGCTAATAAATCATAATTTGTACATTTTATTCAGATTTTGAATCAAAGATAATGTTTTAGTCTTTTGGATTTATAGTCTTTTGTTTCTCAGGTGGTCTAGAAATAAATATATTACTTATGTTAAAAATATTTATTTAAGGAGAGAGATTTGATCAACTTAGAATAAAAGCATGTATAAAGATGTAGATATCTCTGAGCTTCAGAGATGTCTGTCAGAATGTTCAGGGAAGTTTTACATGGCCTGAGTGAAGAGAGCTGGGTTGTCTCTGGAGTTGGGTTAATGGGAGGAAGGCACTAAGACATTATCTGCCATGATTTTCAAATTATTTTTAATGACAGACCCTTTAAATGAAATCCTAGGTAGGAGCTGACATGTTGAATGGATTAAAGTGGAACTTCTCTGTTTGAAGGGGATGTGGGGCGGAGCAGAGACCTGCCAGCTCTCTCCCCACTTTCCCTCACCTGCTGTGGCCCTTGGTGGGTTCCAAAAATCCCATCAGGCCTGCTCATCACCATCTGAAATCACCTCATATAATCTGATCCCTTCTTTATTTTATAAATAAGTAATCAAAGGCCCAGAGAGGGTGAATGACATGCCCAAGACCCAAATAGCTGTAGAATACAACTTCAAATAGAGCTATCCTTTTTACACGACATCATATATTTTCCCTCTGGTCTGTACCAGAGTCTAAATTCTACCATTAGAAATGAGTGATTTTGGTTCTTGAAATCAATTATTCATGAGTTGGATATTACCTTAAAACTTTACTGTTTAATATTTTAAATGACACCTCAGTAGGAGGATAACCCTATCTTGCCTGGGGCACAAGTTAGCTGCTGGGTGGCTGGTGCTGGTGTGGAAAGTGGCAGGAGGAAGCGCTGGTATTGTAAAGCAGAGTCTTCACCTGGCAGAGAGGCTGCGCTCACCACCTCTGAAATCAAGCAGAGACCTAAATGTTTTTTTTTTAAAATGGAGACCTAAAATGTTTGAGGAAGGATGACCTCAGTGTCCACAGAGAAAGGAGAATACATTTTGATCTTATTTGTCCTAGAGAGCACCAATTGTAACCTAGGGAAAAAATAATCAGTGCAATTTTGACATTAATGGTAAAGCTCTTTTACTATTAGTGTGATTTTTATGAATGATTCATTAAATATAATTTCTATGACATTTCTATGACATATATAATTTATGTCCATTTGTTGAATGTGTTTAGTGGTATTGATCACTCATTTAAATAATCAATACTATTCATGCACAGTCTGCAATGCTATTGGTAATCACCAATTTTAAGACAGAGCTTACAATTACAACAACATCCTTAGCATTTTTTGTCAGGAGCAGTGGTGAAACATGAATTACCGTATAGGGAGTAAAACAGGCTAATTGAAACGTGAGATAAATAGACAGCTAATTAGGTGAAATAAATGTGCTAAATAGGAATTCACTAGAGGATTTGTGCTACCGTGTTAGGCCAACCCAATGCCTCTGGAGCTGTCCTCTTTGGAATGCTCACAGACTGGTGATCCCTTCTCTTAGTGAGGGACATGTCATAGGTGGGACACTGGCTAGGGAATAGGAGGCTGGGTTCTAGGCCCTGATATGTCACCAAGTTATGGTGATGCTCTGTTCGTAAGTCACCACTCTCTTCCCTCCCCTGTCCTGTCTTTTAATTAATTTTTTCTCCTTTCTATTGGAGACAACTGCAGAGCAGGGACATCAGAAAGAGAGGACTGGAACACACATTTTTTTTCTAGATCAGGATCCTCCTGCTTTGCCGTTGCTATGGGAAACAAAATGGGAAGACCAGAAGAAAACAGACGACAGAAAAATGGAAAAAGGGATTGGAGAATGATGAGAGATGCTAGTATTAAGATGTGTTATGTCAATTGAATATGGAATGCTTCAGCAAATTTGCTTTCTGTATTTTAAGGAGAAGTGAAATATTTTTTATTCAGGATTGGGATAGAGTTAACAATAACTGAATATATTTCAGAAGAATCTACTGCCGTTGTGATTATTCAGTCTCGTGACTATTTTGTGTAACTGTGTGCAAGGGAATTACCTCAGAGAAATAGCTGTCCAAGAAGGCCACGTTCAGGCCGGTGTCTGCATATTCCCTCTGTGTCCCTGGTGTTGAACTCCTCTTCCTGGCTGCTCCCGCTGCTCCTCCGGCCACCAGGCCGGTGGCTGTCCCGAGACCCGTATTGAGTTCCACTCCTGATACACCCCCTTCAACAGTTCCTCCGCCCGCGTAGGTGTTAGTGTAGATTTCTGAAAGGAGAGGGTGTTCGTATAACAGGGCTTGGGTTGTCTGCATTGTTTATCTGTGTAAAACACTGCCAGCTGCTGTCTGTCATACACCACCATCACCATACAACAAAAAGTAGGTACTGGGATGCTAGGTAAGGAGCAATTTGAATTATACCCACAATCTCCAGGCTTGCTCATAAAATAAAAGTAAGGAAACGTACAGGGGGAGCCAGCTATCAGACCTGGCCTTCTGACATTTGCACAAACTTTACCCCTAGATTTAAAGGTGTAGAACTAGCTAGCAGAAACTAGGCTTCTGTGCCTGCAGGAGTTCCTTCCATTGCTCCCTCTGACAAGCTGCCGGGCCTGTCTGAGAGGGCTTGCAACCCTCCAAGGCAAGGCCAGCCATGGCCTTACAGAAACTGCAACTCATAGTCCTCATTCACTCTGGTGCTTGGTGGAGAGCTGGCTTTCATGGGAGTGTGCGGTCACCTGAGGCTCTTTGCGTCCAGTGGCCAGCTTGGGATACTAAGGAACCATCACTGAGAAATCTCATGTCTGCTCTAGAATTGGGCAACTTCTCTACTTTGCTCAATCGTTGCTTAATAGCTGAGTATTTTTCAAAGTTCTTAGGTGTGCGTGGAACTGGTAAATTAGGAGAGGGTAAGACTGGTGAGGCAGATGCATGTGTGAATTTAAGATAAATTCCTCAGTGTATTGTTAGAAGAACACATTTGCTGCTTTTGCTTTTCTTTTTTTTTTTGACAGCTTGTATTACAAATAATGGCTATAGTAGCATTACTCTGTGCCAGGCACTATTCTTAAGTATATTTTATGATACACACACACACTCACACTCACCACACATATACATACATATATAATATATATAACATATTAATATATGTATATTATATATCATACATAATATATGTATATGTATGTGTGTGTGTGTGTGTATATATATATATATGCTCGTTTACGTCTCACAGCAACGTTTGGAAGTAGATACTATCATAAATGCAATTTCAAAGATAAGGAAATTGAGACCCAGAGAGGTTGAGTGTCTTGCCCAAGGACTTATTGCTAGGGAGTGGCAGAGCCGGGAATCAAACTCAAGCATTCTGTTCCAGAGTTTTCCCTTTTAACTGCAACGCCATATTTCACCGCCTGTAGTTTAAGACAGAAAGATAAGGTGGCCACTTCAAACATGTAACTTTCCCTCTAATTATTGTCCAAGGAGGATTGACAGATATGCTGGGTTTTTTTAAATTGGGTGTTTGTACATGAACTTTGGTTGAATAATTTTTCAAATTTTAAAAAGGAAAGCAGATTTTCGTGTCCACTGACCAGAGGAATCCATACGATCCTGGGTGTTAGAGGCCGTCATTGGTACACATACATTTGATACATCCTGAAAAGAAAAAGAAAGGATGTTTAAAATAAATGCTGCATATTAAAAATTGACATCTTTTTATTTTTGTGTAGTGTACAATTGTCAAGACATGATTGATTTCCATTGAAACCCCGTGCTTCTCTGGAAAGTGACCGTCCACTCACCCTGTCCTCGGGACGGGCCCCTTCTACTCTCCAAGACCGCATCGCTCCTTCTCCCCCCTCTGGCACAGGAGCAAACCTTGTCCCCAGGCCTTCTGGCTGCCTTCGTTTGCAGCAACATATGAGCAGCAAGAGTGGTGACACTGCCCAAGGAAGTGAAAAGGAATAGTTAACACATATTGCTCAATTTAGGAAGTCATTGTATTTATCATTTTTTGGAAAGTGTGGCACTACATTTAGAACTGAAAGGATAACTTAAGATAAGAAAGCATCACTTTTTCCCTAAAGGATTGAGTATACGTATCCATGTTTATAAATACAAAACCACCAAGTCACATGGAGCTTTAGAGCTGGAATGGGGGGAGTTTGAGATCGTGTAATCTGTGTGTTTTTAACTGACAAAATAGGAAAGTAAGGTCCTTTCTTCCCTCTAGTCCAAGACTCCTGAACTGGTTGGTAGCAGATCCAGGATACACATCCCATTTTCTGATTCCTACTCCTCCATGTATATGATATGCATTTAGATATGTGTATGTATACACATAAAATCGTTTGTGTATGTTTATGTATTGGTAAGACTGTATATATGTGTATACTCATGAATACACATGTATTTACTTCCATGGGAACATGTATATATGCAGGTACCTGGATATGCATATGTTTACACATAGACCATCTCTGTGTGTATGTATACATATTTGCATATCCATATAGAAGCCAATATATACAAACCCATGTAACCAAACACCATATACACACATATAAGTTAAACACATAATGTATGTAAGCAGGAGGATTGGATACAGGATTCAGTTATAGGACCTAGGGGATAGGACCCTTTTTCAACCCTTATTATATTTACACTTAAAAGCAATCAATCAAATATTATCCACTAGATTTAATTGGGCTTTTTACATTTATTATTTTAAGATTTTTGTCTACAAAATATAATGGAAACTTTATTTCAATTCTATACTTTAGTTCATAAATATAGACACTTCTTAAGTTTTCTAAGGTTCTAGTATACACTCAGTTTAGTTCTTTGGGTCCACTCTAGTTGCTTTTTATATTTGTCTAATTCCCTACTATAACATGCATTCCACTGAGTGGGTTAATTAGAAGTACATAAAAAAATATCAAAGTTGCTAAATCAGGGCTTTTCTTGATGTTATTAAAAGTGTTAATTTGGCAGTTTTACCATCTGCACCATGAACAGTGAAAGGTCAAGTTATACGTTTCCAGAGAGCCTCCTAGAAAAGGACTAGATGGGGCTCCCCGGTGGCGCAGCAGTTAAGTGTGCACGTTCCACTTCGGTGGCCCTGGGTTTGCCGGTTCGGACCCCGGGTGCGGACATGGCACCACTTGGCAAACCACGCTGTGGTAGGTGTCCCACATATAAAGTAGAGGAAGATGGGCACAGATGTGAGCTCAGGGCCAGTCTTCCTCAGCAAAAAGAGAAGGATTGGCAGCAGATCTTAGCTCAGGGCTAATCTTCCTCAAAAAAAAAAAGAAAAAGAAAAGGACTAGAATTGGTAGCTTCTAGACAGCTGCCCCACCTACACTGTTTCTGTGAATTTAGATGTGTGCAGCATCATGCCTCATCATGGACACAAGCTCTGTCTAACAAAGGCACTATCCAATAAAAGAAATGCAAGTTTTCAGCACAAACCAAATATAATTACTGTATCTCATTTGGAGCTAACATGAAAAGTCTTAATTTGAGGCCCTTTGGAAGTATAAGGTTTGGGCTAAGATCCCTCCTCCCACCATCACACTGTCCTTTCTACTGCAGGAGACCCTGGGCTCCTCCATGAGAATGAGTGACTTTGCCCGCAAGCATTTTCCCCTTCTATTCTATGGTCAATTTAACAATGGTCATGCTTTCTTGGCCTGGTTAAGGAAGAGTCATGAAATTTTGAGTGCTAGCCAGCTGCTTCTCGGTTTTTGATCCTGAACTGCACATTAGCTTCACCAGAGGGCTTAAACATGCCCGTGCTTGGGTCTCATCTTGAGTACTCTTGCTTGGGCATGAGTAATTTTTAAAGACCTCCAAGAGATTTTAATCCGCATCTGGGGTTGAGAACCACTGACTTCAAGTTAAGCTGATTCCTCTACTCAGTTGCTGTTGAGTCGTATTCTGGGAAAATATCTCTATTATCATTATCAGAATTGCTCATGATCTTTGTATAGCCTTGAAAACTTGGATTATTTTAAGAAAGAAAGTCTGCCCAAAAGTCAGTTATTTTTTTATATCTTAAAATGATAATGTTTCAGTTTGTATTTCTTCATGAAAACATTAATATTAGAGTTTGAAGAATTTAGTCATCTTTAATTTTTGAATCCAATTTTTGATCTCCGCAAAATCTAAGAGTGGCCACGGCAACCTATGCATGAAGCCTTTCTCCCCTGAGGATCTAATGTTTTAAAAAATGGGTTAGGGAGAGAAGGATCCTTTTTGAAATTTTTGCTTAATGGCTTCACCATTCCTGTGACCATGATCTTAGTTCTGACACTCATCCAGAGCCCAGAGGCTAATTCTCCCTTCTAGGCTCTTGTCCCTGTTTCCTACGACACCAGAGTGAGCGGGTCACCTGAGCTCACATGTCCTCACTGACTCCTCATTGCCTGTGGACTGAAGCCCAGAATGTTCAGCCTAACGTGAACCTTCCTATGGTGGATCCCAGCCTGCCTTTTAGCCTCTCCACTTCTTGAGGATGCTCCGCCCTTCCATCCCTCTCTCTCTTTATGTTTGCATTGTTCCTTTGTCCTGGACTGCCTTTCAGATTTCCCCACACACCATCTTCTTTCTAAGAAAATCCTCAGCTTTTAGGGCCTGTGTCAAAGCCATTTCCTCCATAAAGACTTCCCCAAACTTCCCACTTGGACTTAAGTGCTTTCTGCCTTTCTACTCTTAAAGCAGTTTGCTGAAATTTTCATTATAGGATTTACTTTATGCTCCGCTGTATTGTACTTCGGGATTTGCACGTGTTTCCCATCGTGATGACCTCATTAACCCTAGACCTTAGTTATCATTGTTGAACAAGTACATGCCCTTATCAGTCCCATTGTTTATTTCTAGATTTCCATGAAAATTGCTATAGATACCAAATAAAAATGTCCAAATAAACCTAGCCATTCCAGTGAGCCTGGTTACATTCTTATTTTGAAGAACTGCTGAAAAGAGGGATTTAATCCAGTACTTACGAAGCAGCAGTAAGAGGCCCAGCACCATCATGCCAATTCCTGTCTGTCCGAGACCAACATTTGAACCCCCAGTTCGGTCATCAGTGACGAGCCCATCTATGTCACCAGTAACTGAGCTGTCGTGCCCGGTGTAGATGCCTGTGGTAGTGGCGTACAAGCATATGTGGTTGTTGTCACAATCGCAGGCCTGTAAAGTCACTATTTGTGCCAATTCGCACTCTCTGTTATAGCTGTCCTTCACTAGGATTGGGATTTCGTAAATTTTGTGAGATAAATTCTGTGCAGCTGTCAAGATCGCAGACGTAGCTGAAAAGAAAGAGAAAATAAATTAAAATTCTTTTAGGGTAACCCTTCCTAATAAGCAAGATTAACTTAAGGCCTGATTTTTTTATGCTCCCTTAGTCAGAGAGCTCCCTCTACTTATTTTTATTTATTTTTAACATTTATAACTAATTATTCGAGAGTGCTTCCTGCCAGATTGGTATTTCTACAAAGAAGGCTGGGACCCTGCTGCTTATTTCTAGGGCAAAATACTTGACCTGTAATATGCACTTAATAAATATTTGTCCAATGAATGAAGAATATTGAGCTGAAGGGAAATATTAGAAGTCTTCTATTTAGGATTACAGATTACAAATACTCTCCTTAAGACTTGTTTATCTCTTATTCAAAATTGCTGCCCTTTCCTTTAAAATTATTCTAATAACTATTATTTTCCTAATTCTTTGTGCTGTCATTGCCTATTGATTTTTATAGAAACTACTGCTTAAAACATTGGTTGAAATTTATCAACCCAAGGAATGTTTAGAGATGATTAAATTTACACCTAAATCAAGAATGGTAATTATTAATCCATAACACTCAATATTTATTATTATTATGGTTTGTTACTTTCAGTTAGCTATATGATAAGCCAGCTATGTCTACCAAAATGTAACCTGTGCACTAAGAATTGAATAAAGCAATGCCACAGCATATTAGGTGAAAGTTTATTCTGTTCTTCAACACCAACCTTGAAACAGGGCTCTAGGAATATTATCTGAATATGATTATACTTTTTACTGACAAATCTATAGTATCATTTGAATACCTTTGCCAACCTCCATGTTGAACGTTTTTTCTTGTATTTTTATCATAATATCTAGGATCTGAATGAGGAAAAAGTGGTTAGACATTACTATTTAAGAATGGGATATTGGGCTAATAGGAGAAGTTGTAGTCAGAGTTGTCTTGATTTTAATGGAATTGTTTTAATGTGCTTAGCTTTTTAAAATTAAAGTAGTTTTGTGGAAAAGAGCTAAAAAGTTTTATGGTGAAAAAAAATTGCCTGATTTCCTCCTTTGACTAAGCCCTTAGTGGTGGCATTTTTTCCCTGGCATTATTTTAGGGTTTCTCCTTTCTGTGAATGGAGGAGCTTGGTGGCCTCAGAGAGGTGAGAAGTATTTTCCTCTCACTTTGGGCTCTGCATTCTGACCCCCGTCCTACCACCCTCACCTCCCCAAATCTTTCCTATTTCCCCAAATTAATATGAGATTAGGGGGCTATCTTAGCCCGAATGAGGTTCTCTCACAGCATTTCATTTTCTGTTATACATTTAACATTTCGGGAAAAAACTCACAAAGTGTATTGTGTTATATTGCCTGAAATTCACTCTCATTTTTTAATGACATCAGGCCTTCCTTTTCACATGGCAACAGTTAGCACAAGCACACATACTCCCTTGGGATCTTCATACTTTATATACTTTAGTTTTTGTATTCTATTGTATCTAAATGCTTCACATATTTCTAATTTTAATGCTGTATAGTACTGCATCTTAATAATATGTATCACAATTTGCCTAACCATTCTTCTAATATTGGGCAATTTGGATTTAAATTTTTACCCTTACGAATAAATCTGAGCTCATAGCTCTTTATAAAACCAGTGTCATTGATCTTATGTGCTCTTAAGTGAGTAGAAAATGTATAAATGTATCTATGGGCTACCTGAGTTTCGGAGACGTTTAAGTGACATGCCTGAAATAATTCAGAATAGGAAATTGTGCCATCTGGTGAGTTTGCCAAGGGTTCTGTTTATTTTAAACTGATCAAATATTGGTTAGCACCTCATGTATATAAAATGATGGATAAATTGATATTTACATATTACTATTTGTAATTCAGTACTGAGAAAACATTTTTACTTTTATTTCAGTTCAAAATTTTTCCAAATATCCTAAGTGTGTATATGAAAGATTTTTTTCATTTAACATGAATATGGCAAGAATCATGGAAACAGAGATGGAGAATATTATTACATGACTTGACTAATTATTTGCTAGTTGTTTTTGCTTTTGGTCTTAAAGTGTGAGCAAGTTTGCATTCTACTTACCACTTATCGATCTGATATCCCATAAGTTAGCTGTGCCTGGTGGCTGATCATCAACACAGAAGATAAAGGGAGACCCATAAGAATGTTCATCAACAGAGATAAGGATTGACGGAGAGGCAATGCAGATGGTGTCACTTTCAGCAGAAATGACTGGACAATAGTCATTGACATCAGGAACTTCGATACATATGGTTCCTGTAGCTGTTTTCCCAGAGCCATCTGAAACAGCAAAGCATCATGAGTGTTGGGGTAAATGGTGTCAGGGAGAAAATTCTTTCTCATATCCCTTGATGGCACAGCACATAGGGATAGTATGAAGGACTCCTGAGATGGTGCATGATAGGTGCCTGCCTCCTTCAATGACCTGAAGCAACTCTTGCCTTTGCTCACTACCTTCCAGCCACACTGGCTTCTTTTTAGCTCTTTGAACAAGGTTCTTCCTAACTTCGAACTCTTGCACATTCCATTCACTTTCCTTAAAATGTTTTTCATCCCCATTTCATTCTACTATCTCCCACATATCCTAAGATACAAAGTTAGATGTCCCTCCTCAGAGAAAATTTACTGCTTTCTGTTCCCACTCTGGTCTAGTGGTTAAGATTTGGTGCTCCTACTGCCACGGCCCAGGGTTGTTTCCCGGTCAGGAAACTACACCACCTGTCTGTTGGTTGTCATGCTGTGGTGACTCTGTGTCTCTGTGATGCTGAAAGCTATGTTGCCATTATTTCTAATACCAGCAGGGTCACCCATAGTAGACAGGTTTCAGCGGAGCTTCCAGACTAAGACAGACTAGGAAAAAGGACCTGGCCATGAAAACCCTACGAATAGCAGCAGAGCATTGTCAGATACAGTGAGGGAAGGTGCAGGGATGGCACAAAAAGACTGGGGAGAGTTCTGCTCTGCTGTACACAGAGTCGCTAGTAGTCGGAATCAATTCGGCAACACTGACAAAAACTTCCCACTCTGTCCCTATAAATGAGACCCCCCAGACCAGTTTAGAGCCTTCCATTTAGGATGCTTATTGAGTCCTGTGTTTGTGGAAATAGCCACTGTTGAAATTAAATGATTTGTGTATTTTTTCTTTTTGTTTTCACTATTTATTTTAATTTCATCTATTAGATGCTATTCCTCTCTGAAATGACACTTCTGAAAACAAATATAAATCTATTAGATTTTTTCCCTAACACATTTGAAACAAATTTTGGGTTAGTATAGTTTGTTAGAAAGGTCAGAGGACCAGGAAATAGGAGTTTGGGCTTTTAGTCCACTTTTCTATTTTATGTTCTATTACAATGGGTAAAGAATTATTTTGTTTTAACTTGTGAAGAATCTTAGTTTTCTCGTTTGTAACCTAGAACATTAGCATCTCTAGGGTATTTTACTAGGTCATTTTTGGAGAAGTTAATAAACTTCTTTTAAAGATGTTTTTTGCGTGCCTAAGTGGTAGACTCATTTAGTAAATTGAATGATAATGAACCAGGAGCCTATCTATATCCTGCATGGTTTGTCGATTATGTTCTTATACCCTATTCAGCATTGGACCTCTAGACTCATTTAGAGAGACATCAGATTATCCCATAGATTGTTTTCTGTATCATTCTCTGATTCTCCGGAGCTTTCTTATGGTCGGTTGATGTGGCAACCCACAGCTCAAGCTATTGCTGACTGCATTTGCTCCCCAATGGCATTTGCTCTACAGAGTGCTCTGCCTCTTAACCTGGTGGCTGAGCATCCTTGAACAAACTTATCCAAATCGTCTGGATGGCTCTGTGCCAGTGCAGATACTCTGCTTAGGTGAATAAACAATGGCCCTTGTTTTTAGTTTTCTGTTGATACATTTTGATAGTTTCTTTGTCTCCTCCCCCCCCCCCGCCCCCTTTATTTTTCCTGAGGAAGATTTGCCCTCAGATTTGCCACATCCGCTGCCAATCTTCCTTTTTTTGTATGTGAGCTGCCACCACATCATGGCCACTGACAGGTGAGGAACCGAACCCGGGCCACCAAAGCGGAACGTGACAAACTTAACCACTAGGCCCTTAGGGCTGACCCTCTTTCTCCGTCTTTATTCACTTTAAATGACTAATTTTTTTTCTAGTTTTTGAAGATTTTCATATATGACCAATGTACAAATGTAGGCTTTGATCAACATGGTTAGAATTCATTTAGGAACAGGTCTTCGAGAATACTGATAATAAAGAAGACTATGTTATTTATGGAACAGCCCTAGATATTAAAAGTGACACTCACAGGACGAAGACCAGAATGTATGGACTGTAATTGCTTGGGTATTATCATGGTTTCTTTCTTAGTCTTATACTGCCCATTTATCTTTCTCTTTGGCTACTGTAAAGCTCAGATATAAACTTAATGCAGACCTGTAGTATCTAGCTTTTATTAAGTATGTATCTGGGATACGTATTGTCCTTCTTTCTGAATTTTTTCTGTTTTTTGTTCTGTAGTAGTTGGTTTTCTAGGCACAGCTCCAGGCAATCATTAACTAATGATAAATAAACAAATTCCTGTTGCTACTCACCAAGAGGCACGCTCAGTAGATTTTCCCACGAGAAGCCTCTCATTTACAAGTTAATTCGGTGCATTTGCACTTACGACTTTTAATTTGGATCTTATATTTGGAATAATCTTGTGCTTTCTTGGTCCTTCACATCTTATTTTGGACAGCATGTCTAATCAAGCAACACTCAGACATGCCTCTCATTGTAGCTCAGTTTTAGTGGCTGTAAGATAACTATGCTCTTTGGGACACTGCCTTTCCCTCAGGTCATCCCCAAATGAACTTTGTGCAGGCCCTGTAGCACTTCTTTTCAGTAAACATTCCTAACATACTCTACACGTTGAATTAACCATCTCGAGAGATAAGGCCATAAACAGAAACTGAATTTTATTTATATATTTTAACTTTTATGCTTTACACTGTAAGTCACATACAACTTTTTTTGGAAGTAGGTGAAACAAATTATGATTTAAATGTAAATGATGGTTATAAGTATACTTAATTCAGCTCTTGATCTAAGATATTTAGAACTCTCCATAAGTCTTACAGACATCACTAAAGGATATATTTTATTTGAGTCAATCTAATATTAACCTTAGAATATTTATACTTAATATAATAATAATAATTTTATTAAAATATCGAAAATAAATTTTCTTACCATCTATAGCCAAGATCTCTGCTGTGTATATCCCGTTGATAATATATTTTGAGTTCGTATCAAATTCCCTAGAAAACTGTATCTCACCAGTCCTAGAATCAACTTTTAACCAGCTGCCTGCATCATGTCCTATGATATACCTGTTTTTAAATAAATAACTTCATCATTATGCTTATATGAAAGTTAGTAATTTTAAGTCACATTAAGAGCTACAATGTGTTAAACTTATATATGGTATTAGCACACTTTACAGTGATAATTGTCTTGGCTTATAGAATGTATGTATATCAATAAAATTCCAGTATTGAACATATTAATGCACAAGTTCACAACAGAGTTTCAAAATTTCATGATTCTTACTCTTCTAGCTCTTAATATAATTGTTAATAAAACATACGAGTCTATTTCAGGTATATATATTAAATCAGAGCAATATCGAAAGAATATCCTTTATTCACATTCCCATGTAATGTACTTTGTTTTTCCTAGATTTTAAGGCATATTGGTTTCGGAGCACCTCATTGTTGTCTTGTTAGGGGTTGTGGTATCCTCTGCTCAGCTTGCGTATATGGATTTTGTTACATATAATGGATTCGAAGTGCTTGATCTTATTGGAAGAAGATCTGGTGTCCATACCAGGCACAATTTTATATCCAAGGCACTTTTCTGACATCTTTTTCTCTATCCCGTACTGACAGACTTCATAACATACTGACAGACTTCATAATTTTTGTTGTCTGTTAATTTGTTAGCTAATTAAGTAATCAAAACTGTTAATATCAAAGTAATTTATAAGTCAGTAGACTTTGTTCACTCCAAGAATATTGGGCAGAAGAGAATAAGGACAAGGGAAGGATATGAAGAATACCTATATGGTTCACTGTGGTTGTTTTCCCGAATATCTTATATAGGTCTCATTTGTGTGTAATCTATGTGTCTAGTGCCTCTAATTCCAACCTTTTTATTTCTCCAGTTCTGACTCTCTTCATGCTCATCACATTTCTGAAACACCTTTTTCTAGCTTCTTCTACTATCTCTTCTTTTTTCTACTTAGGTTAAGCGGAGGATTGAAATTAGCCCCAAAGTCACAGACAGCATACGCTTTAAGGAAACAAGCAGGCACTCATCTTTTATGCTGTCTTATTGTTTACAATATGGCTTCATCAGCCCAGGTCCAGGCTGTTCCAACTGGCCACAAAAGATCAAAGAGACTCACAGGGTAACTGTGGGTGGCTCTTTGATCTTACAATTGCTCCCTGGACACAATTACGCTTGCAACCAGTTGGATCCCTTACAGCCTCTAAAACACTATTAAAATTCTAAGAAAATGTCAGTGCCACAAGAATCTTCTAAAACAGACAAATAAACAAGAAAAGCAAAGCAAAACCCCAAAAGTCTTTCAACTCACAAACCCTAGCACACACTACATGAATTAGCACTGGACAGACCATGCTTTGTCACTCTAGCGTGAGTGAAGTATTCGCAGTACCTGACATTTGTTGCAGGATTTCCTGTGTCCAAATCTACAGCCGTATATGTGCCAAGCACATAATTCATTAAAGAATCTCCTCTTATTCCTTGTCGAACACTGAAAGTCATAGAATTTGGGTGAAATGTGGGTCCTTCTCTCACATTAACAACCTGAATTCTCACAGGGGTTGAGTGCATTCTGAATTGAGAGGCAACTGAGTGGTGAAATTCAGCTACATTTTGAACTCCAATGCTAAGCTGAATATTAGGCACTTGTTCATAATCCAGCATCTGTGAAATGATAGAAAGTAAAAAACTCAGAAACAGCAAAAGAACTCTGTCTCTCCTTTTTTTTTTTTTTAGAAATATTAGCCCTGAGCTAACATCTGCCACCAATCCTCTTCTTTTTGCTGAGGAAGATTGGCCCTGAGCTAACATTTGTTCCCATTTTCCTCTACTTTATATGTGGGATGCCTGCCACAGCATGGCTTGATAAGCGGTGCGTAGATCTGTGCCCAGGATCTAAACTGGCGAGTGTCGGGAGGCCGAAGTGGAGCGTACAAACTTAATCGCTATGCCACTGGGTTGACCCCAAAAGGACTCTCTTTTGATAGAGTAAGAAGCCATGGTAAAAAAGCAACTCACTAGAATAAAGCCCAGGAGGTATGCAATTCAGATTGTGAATTGATAAAATTTTACTTATTATTACATTAGGAATTTCAGGTGTTATTCCCTTTATCTTTCGGCTTAATTGCGTATATGGGTCAATTAAACCTGTGACTTTAAACGCAACTCAAATTTTGGAGTTTTGAACTTGTTGTATAAAAACCCTGAAGTAGAAAATGATCTTTCTTTCCAAATGAGGTGTTTATGAAAAACAAAAAAGTTAGAATTAAATAAAATATGTTGCCAACTATTGAATGAATAAATAGGATCCAGGTTTCCTTGTGAATTTCCCAGAATTCACATCTGAGAATCTCTTGAAAGTATAATTAGCAGATTAAAGGAGCCAATTTATATGATGTAATTGAACATGTAAATTTTTTTTAAAATGATGCAAAGAGCTTCTAAAGAATTCATGATTATTATAGTCTGCCCTAAACTATAATTTAATTGTGCTGAGTCTGGTGGACAAGAAGACTCCTTTGCAGGGCACATTCAAATAAGTAAACACCACACCCAAAGAAAAGTCACCTTTGAAATGGATTCTCTGGATTGAAGATGAGTAGAATCTTTTGATCCAGAATGATTGATGTGGTGACATGAAAAGTCACAAGCGAAAAAGCAGTTGTAAAAAAGGGAGTATTGGGCAATATCTGTTTAGAAGTGTTCTGGAAGCTAATGTAAGCATCACCTGCAACATATTTACAACAGAGGTCAGGTTATCAGTGCTATCGGCAAGATCCTGAGATAAATCTCTGCTTCTTGGGGGAATTCTATGACATCATGAACATTTTCTTAGGTTTTAGTAAAATTCTTCACAAGCACTAAGAAGACAGAATTAGTCGCAGGAATTTGCTTGAGTTCTTGTAGGGGGCTGGCTCAACACGCTTTACTTAAGTTTCAGCTAAAACCTTTGAGGTTTGGAATTTCTATTGCTTTTGCACGTCTGTTCCCCTCGCTGGTCCACATGTTGCCTAGCACAAAGCTGAATATGAATTGTGTCCTCAAAAGTGAATTTTCCATTGGAAGAGATCCCTTTTCTACAGCCCAATTTTTGTTTTCTAGAATTCCATACTATCTTCAAATAAAAGAAAAATCTGAGATCCTCTCTTCTGATAGGGAAATCTCTTGGGGTTTTCTTGTGCATACACGCAAATGTGCTTTTGTTTGTCAAAAGAGTTCTCTCGCTATTGAATGGAGTGTGATGAAAATATAGTCGTATATATCTAAAGGTATATCAATTATAGAAACTCACAGAATGTAGGGACAGGAAACTGTTTGAAGGCTGATTTTCCCTCTAACAGGGAAGATAAAAGACAGAGGAAAGGCAGAGGGTCCTCATCCATTCTTTGCAAGTGGGGCCCTTTATCAAGGGTTTTTCCGATTGTGCCTAGAGGTCAGGGATGTGCAAAGAGCAATTAAAACAACTGTTTACCACCAAGTCTCTGCTTGGAGTTAGAAGGGAGAGGCTGGAGAAACTCAGTTTCTGCAGTTTAAGGCATGACTGAAGACTAATCACTTACAGAGGACGTGCAGGTGTGTGTTAGAAAGGGGGGCCGGCCTGTGGGGGTCTAGAGCCAGTCTCAGGAAAGGCTCAGCGTGAAGATGGCCTCTCCAGAAATAGGTTTGGCTTCTGGCAGGTATTTTGCTTCAGGAAATTTTAATACAGAAACTAAACTGTCGGATTTTCATTCCCAGGTTTTTTTTTGTCTCATATAATTGGACACTCCTAATTCTCAGGGGATGCTGGTTCATTTTAGAACTAAGTGTGAAAGAGGGAGGAGGTTAGAAGTCTCCAGCCGAAAGGGGCAGGTTTTCTGTGTCAGGGGACTGAGGAAGTAGTCAGATATCTACTACCATGTGTATGGTCTGCTTTTCAGGAATTGACATTTTCTGCTATAAATGTGTGTGGAAGAGACCAGCAGGGCACACACAGTTGGGAAGTAGCTTACAGAGGTGAACAGCCTTGGAGGGGGAAATCTCAAGGTGCTAGTTCTTTTGTAAAACTTGTTTTATTGGCCCCAAATGACATGGTGAGATGCGGAGGTGGCAGTTAACTATGGCTTTGGAATCAGAGAGACTTGGCTGGATCTTGTCTTTCTCATTTGCCACCTGGGTGAACTTAGACAAGTTAGTTTTCCTTTTTGATTTTGTTTTGTTTTTGATAAAAAAGGAATAACAATATTTTCTTCCCAGACTTGTAATGATTAAATGAAATAACATGCATGCCTCTATACACACAATATAACCCAATAGCTTGTGTTTAGTGATTACTTAGTAAATATTAAACAGAATTATTATAAAAATAGAGAAGCAATATTTGTAGAATTCTAATTGGGTAGCATTTTACCTTTCTCTTCATTATTGAAGTGAATGTGCATATGTACACACATATATATTTAAATTGTTTGTTAGTATTTCCGTACACAGTTATCAGTAAATACCAAAAGGAAGTTACTATTGACAGAGAGATTTTTGATTTTCTTACAGATTTTTTTCTTGTTAAACTATAATTCCTTGAGAATGGGGACCATGTCTCATTCACCTTCATATCCCTAGCACATAGCAATTCTCAATAAATTTGAGTCGAATTGAATCACTAATAATGTCCTCAGACTAAGAAAAGGCTTGTAGAAACCTTAGTCAAAAGCCTGTGACTGAGGGGCCAGTTTCTGCAAGGTTAAGTGGCGGCTTGAGTGAAAATGAAGAGGTTGCAAGGGGGCATTTAGTGACCTCACTCCAAATGCCACATCTTGGGACAATTACATATATGTTCTCTAAAATATATAGTTCTTTTGGCTATGTGCTAATACACATATTAAGGTTTTAAATTTCATTTTAATTAGCCTTCCCGTATTATTTTGGTGTTTTTAAGCATATTTTTTTTTCCTGCTGTCTTTAAGAGATTTGGAAAGTTATCCAGGAAAAATGAATACTTAGTCTACACAATATCTAACACTATCTTGACCAATTTTTCATGAAATTGAATTTCCAATAGCTTTTTTTTTTTGACATAAAGTAAGTATATCTTTAAAAAACGTGTAGCTCTCACAGAAGGCACTATTATATAAGTCATAGGTAGTGCATTGCCTGAATTATGAACATGTTTTCTGTTTTATTTTTATGATTTTATGTAGAAATTATAAATTATGCAGTCAAACTCAGTGACTCCCATTTGGGTGAGAGCTGCACCATTATTTTCAGGGAAACATCAGTATCAACACCATCCTCAAAGTGTTGTGAGTCTCTACTGTCTTCTGGACACTGTGCCAGGTAGTAGGGATGGAAGGATATTTAGGTCAAGTTGTTTGTGCACAAAGTTCTTATGATTATTTTAGTAGTTTGGGAAGCAAACTACTGGGCAAACTACTGGGCAAAAGCCCAGAACAAGTACTTATTACAAGATGATATGCAAAGTCAATGATTAAGATGGTAAGATGATAGGTAAGAATTACGTGACATGTCTAGATCTTGATTTTTAACCAGGATATAAGGTCGAACAAAGTCTGATCCCTGGGAAAAAATTTGACTAAATATTCAGAATTTGATAAGGTTGTAGGTGACCTCTTGCCTCTCCCTTCCAATCCATGTTACATTTGGCAATGGCACTTATACCCGTTTCCTCGTTTCTATTTTTACTGCTATTGCCTTTGATCAGATTCTTAGCACCTCATGACTTGATTAATATAATAATATTTTTTTTAACTTTAATCTTTCCAGAATTGAGCTCATAATGTTACTGTGATTTTAAAAATTATCTCAGGGGCCGGCCCCGTGGCCGGTTAAGTTCGCACGCTTTGCTTGAGTCCAGGGTTTCGCCAGTTCACATCCTGGGCTTGGACATGGCACCACTCATCCGGCCACGTTGAGGCCGCATCCCACATGCCACAACCAGGAGGACCCACAACTAAAAATACACAACTATGTGCTGGGGGGATTTGGGGAGAAAACCCACTCCCCACAAAAAGAAGATTGGCAACAGTTGTTAGCTCAGGTGCCAATCTTTAAAAAAAAAAATTATCTCAAAGCTTTCTTTGGTCTATAAGTAGGGATTGGCAAACTTAACTTGGTTAAGAGCAGATAGTAAATATTTCAGGCTTTGGGGGTCGTATACAATTTCTGTTTCGAGCATTCACCTTGCCATTGGAGTGTGGAAACAGTCAGAGAAAATACATAAATGAATTCGTGTGGCTGTGTTCCAATAAAACTTTATTTGCAAAAAGTTGGCTGGTCAGATTTGGCCTATGGACCATAGTTTGCTGACCCCTGGACCAAAACAATGTTTCTCAAAAAGGAAGGCCGTTCATATTCTTGGAATCCTCTTGTTCTATTAAAGAATTTCGAAATTTTGTGTGTTCATTTGAATGATAATCTTAAAAAGTGTATATAGATATTTTCCATAATTTTGGTTGCCACCTCATGAATTAATAATTATTAATTATTAAGAAAAAGTAATCTATAGGAAGAAGTGAAACTCTGTAGTTCAGTATTCAACAGACTGACTCCAACTCTACATCTCTGTTTTTTATCACATAACTTTCCTCTGGGAATATTCTGCTACAGCCCCCAGGGTTGCTCCCCATGCCCTGAATGTGCTTTACATTTTCTCACTTCATTTCATTACCCACATTAGCTATTTCAGATATAAAGTCCTACTTAAACCTTATTCCTTGCATGAAATCTTTTCAGACAAATATAGCTCAGAAGGCTCTCACCTCTTAGCTCAGTAATTATCTCACGTTTAACTCATTTGGCAATTAATTATGGTTAATATAATATCTATACTATTATTTATTATGCTTTTAACTTTCATATTACTATCTAATTTGTGGGCCCTTGCCTTGTCTTCTCAACTAGATATTGGTCACTATGAGACCCAAACAGCCTTCTTGTTTCTCGTGGTAATAAATATTGTGTTGCTGGGTTGGAAGTCTCAGATTGACACAGTAAGCTAACTAGGGTGCTTGTCCATATAAATAGTATTCAAGGTTATAGATTTTGTAGATAGGTTCTGTCTCTAAGAGTATTTTCAAACTGCTTTGGAAGAAAGTATTGCAGATCCCATACTGTACCTTGACGACTTTCAAAATGCCTTCATTGGTTCGTGGGTCCGTTTGAATTTCAAACCAATTCCCATCATTTCCGGAGAGAATTAAATATTTGGCCAACCAATTATCTGTGCCTTCTTCATCAAGATCAATTGCTTGTAATCGTATCAGTTCTGAACTTAAACAATTCTCTTCAATACTTGCTGAGTACTGAAATGACATAATTCTATAATTAATGAATTTTCAAAAGAGGAAAGATATTTAGTAATATATAAATATCATTGAAAATACTAACAATGAACTATGTCAATGATTTTTTCGCCATTATTAAATGCCATCTGTCCAATCAGAAATATAAGAATAAAATGATTATAAGATAGTAAAACTGATTTTCTTGTGCTGTATGTGAAATCAACGTCAAACCGGCACTTTGTTCCATTTCTTGCTTATTTTCATTTTTCCTTAAGTTACTCCCTCCTTTTACAGTAAAGGGTCAGACAGTAAATATATTAGGCTTTGTGGACCAGAGAGTATGTGTTGTAATTACTCATCTCTGCCACTGTAGGATCAAAGCAGCCACAGGCAACCTGACAAGGAAATGACTACAGCTGTACCCCAATAAAACATGTTTTTACCAAAACAGGCAGTGAGCCAGATTTGGCCCTGCTGTTTTCAATTTTATGCTTCTTTATTCCTAAAGATAAAAATGGAAGTTGAGAATGTTTGGGACTCTTATAGAATTAATTCAGCAAATCATCAGGTATATAAAGATACATCACTGTTATTACATCATTCCCAGAGTCATATTAATAAATTTCCACATTTCTGTGAGTAGAGAGTATGGAGGACATGCTCTGTTGCTTTCAAAGAGTAGTGACTCAGAAGCAGACATGCACTATTAAGGTATATTACATGAAAGAACGTCCAAGGTTTATATAGCAAACCTGAGTACATCCATATATGTAACCAACTAGGCTGACAAACCAGCAGGAAAGCAGATCAATTATTGACACTTATGGAAAAACCATTATAACACTAATAACTTACGGAAGTTTTCTCCAAGGTGGGGAAATTATCGTTCACATCTAAAACCTTGATTCTACAGTCGCACTCAGAGGACAGTCCATCTGTAGCTCCATCCCGATCTGAGCCCCTCACAACGAGGGTGTACATACTGTGTTGCTTAAAACAAGAAAGAACTGTAAGACTTAGATCTTATTTTGAATAAAATTCAATACATTCTAATGTTATTCCACTTTTCTTCTATAATTTTATATAATCTTTTAATATAATTTTTTCTTTTCATAATTTTCATTGAAAAAATGATGGTTGGATTATTTTTCCTTCCCTCCTTTACATCGGAGGAAAGGCATACATGGGTCATGTCATCTTTGTCTTTTCAAAATGGAATTCTTTATTTCTCATCATTAGTTCATAGAAGGCTTTACCTCTCTGTCCAGGAAACTGGACATCGTGCAGACTTCTCCTGTGTGCCTGTTCAGGATGAACATGGGTGTACCTGCTGGCTCCTGAGAGATGATCTTATAGGCAATTTTAGAATTCAGATTATTGTCTTCATCTGCATCTGTAGCACTTAACTTTACTACCAGTGTGTCTAGAAATGAAGATGGAGGTGGAGAATGTTTGGGATTCTGTTAGAATCAATTCAGCAAAATCATGCAGAGGAAGAAAGAGTGGCCGGCCTTCTGAGTTCTCTGTGTTCTAGTTTTCCATGAGAACATATTATCTAACTTTCAGCTACACCATTGATTACAGAAATAACAGTGGTTGGCTTTTATAAAATCTTTACAGTTTTTAAAGTAGTTGCATTCCTTAAATGATTCAATGGTAAATTGTAGCAAATATAGTAATCTTTGATGTATGAAAAGAAGTTCAAAAGCCTTTATCATATAGCTGAAGAACCGATTTTATCAATTTGTTTTTGCCTCAGTCTTGTGAAATTATTTTAAAATGCTTAATTCAGAAAGATTATAGCTTAACTCAATTCAATTTTGCGATTATTTATTGAGCACCTATATTCTTTATTTTTGCTCACCCAGAAAGTGGAGAATTACTGTCGGTTGCCTTGGAAGATAATAATACTTTACCAAACAGTCAAAAATATCTAATTATTGAAAAGATTTGTCCACAGGAATATAAGAAGTTCTTAATTATTCATAGGGACAAAGACCAGGCATCCTAGGCCAATCCCCAAGGACGTCAGCCCACAGGATGGATTTTCCAGAATTGGCAGGTCCCTGATGTCTTTCTGCTTCCCAGCCAGGCTTCAAAGGGAAAAGTCCTAGCACAGAGATCCAGGGACCCCTTCAATAGGAGGAGCCAGGTTTCGTGGAAGTCGCAGTTTATGGGAGTATGCCCTTGCCCTGGGGTTAACTGTCTTCACAAGAGGGAGCATTAACAAGGCTGCTAATCAGCAATTGAATGGACATAGATGTGGACTTGGGTGTGGGTTTCAACTCCTTTTCCTTCAGCAAAGTTGTTCTAAACTGTGTTACCAAGAAAACAGTGGCTTTGGAGACTCTTTCTCTGTTTTGCCTCTCTTAGGCAAAACGCTCACGTTGCCTCGCTATGTCCTTCCATCCTGTTTTATAAAACATTTTGTTTTTCTTATTTTCAACATCACTTCCCTTTAGGGGACCTGAAGAAGGAGTTCTCTTAACACCCCCTTTCAACCTCTCCCTTTTGTTATCTCTTTCCTTCTGTCCCCCAGCATTTCTTGTCTCTTTTCTCTTTTCCTCTGTACTTGTGCATCCTTCTTTCTTTGACTCTCCCTTGGTACCTCCAGCATGCTTTCTTATCTGCCTTTCTTCTGAAATTTCTTTATTCTACTCTTTTCCCCCAGATTTTATTTAGAGGAATAAATGCAGACATAGATGTGAAAGGAAAAGGAATATTAGAGGACTGGGGGAAGAAAGAGGTAGAAGGCAAAAGGGAGAGAAGAGAATAAAGTTGCAATGTAGGAAAAGCTTAAGTGTAGAAAGGGAAGTGTTGAGAAGTGATAGAAATAGAGAGAAAGAGAACAGTATTAGAGTTGGAGGGAGAATTAAAGCAGGATGGAAGAAAGTGAAAAAAATGAGAGAATGGAATGTAACTTGCTGTGTAGACCGTGAAGACCATTGATTCCCTTCGGTGACTGATCTGATGGGTACAATTGCAGATGCACTCTCCGTCACTCTCTGTCTGGTGTGGTTCAACCCAGAATTTGAGGAAGAGACCAGAACTGAGCCCTTTTACCCGTTCATGCTTTCTTTCTCAGTTTACTCATTTGGCTTAAGGTAATCATGAGCCCAGTAACAATCTCTGAGGAAGGCACTAAGCCTTCTATACTGTTAAATCACATTATAAAGAATCTTCTACAAAGAGAAAGATATTTAGCATTTTAGACATGATTTTTTTCTGGGTCAGTTTTAAGTTAGAATTTGTGGGGTTTAGTCAAAATACAAGTTTGACTTTTTCTGATCTTTAAATTATCTGTATATCAATCTCCCAAAGCCTTTGACCAAGAGAAATAGATATGGTGTCATGCAGAAGAAAGATATCATTCTACTTACTTGCATCGCTGTTTTCTTCAATGCTGGCTGTGTACACGTTTTGTGTAAAGACTGGAGGGTTATCATTTATGTCCATAACTTTGACTCTAAGCTCAAGAGGCCTTTCTAAATCTTCACCCCGTGAATTCAGGGCCCGGCAATAGATCTGTGAAAAGTTGGGAAAAAGTTATTTTTCCACCAAAGGAAATTAACATGCTTGAAATATATCAGGAAATGTGGAAAGAAACAATTTTCTTAGTGAATTCAGACTGTATTATAGTTTAGTAATTTAAATATTATCAAGACATTTGATCACACATATATGAAACACACCAGAGAATCCTGAACTATAAACTTTTATTTTCATACCCTTTCCATCCCTTCAAGCAATTTATTTGGTTGCAGTCTACTGTGTTTTAACAAAAGTAAGCATTAGTCCTGCGTTGATATTTTTTAAAAAAGAGAAGAAAAATAATATGCATGTCAAAACACTCTGCTGTGACTTACCAAGAAGAGTGGCGTTATCTCTCTATCTACCACTGAGGTGATGTTAATTTCCCCAGTCCGAGGGTTGATGGTGAACACTCCGTAAGGCGGTCGATCAATTCCTGCCCCAGAGATTCGGTATGTAATCTTCTGGTTCACTTCACAGTCTGATCGAATCTGTGAGGAAAATGGCCAGGATTTTGGTCTAATTCAGAGCAGATCATGAACTGCAGAGTGTAGAGGAACGAGAAGGGAATGGGCTTTGCAGCCAAATGGGCTTTGGATTGTAACTGGCACGGTGACTTAAGCCTGTGTGACCTTGGAGAATTCACTTAACTTTGCCAAGCACCAACTTAAAATGGAATAATACCACCTATGTCCTAGGTTTGTTTTGGGGTTGTATGAGATAACATATATACACCCCACCCCATTGCCCGGCAGGTGGCACAAACATGCTTGATGCTAGATTTGTCATTATTAACAATACATTGTTCAATTCTCTGATTTTTCTTTGCATAGAAAAAGAGTTTGACAGAAGTAATCAACATCTTTACTATTTTATAAAAGATTGTGTCATGTTAGTATGTACCCTGCCTAGACTTTAGTTAGATATTTAATTAAAAAAATAAAAATTAATTAAAAAAATTACAGATAAGTTCAGAAAACCAGAAGAGAAATGCAGTGTTTAGAAATATAAGCAATAATTTTATAAATCAAAACCAAATGTATCACTCATCTGATGAATAGATTTTATGGCAAATATTCTGCTATATAGATTTTGTTTTCATAGTTTTATATTTATTGCTCATAAATTTAAACAAAAGTAGTTTAAATTTTGAAATCTAACCTGTATACTAAAGATAAGATATCTTTAGTATCCACAATTAAATAAAGATGGCTAGAAATACAACTGGATGAGCTCCACTCTAATCCACAGATATTGTTTATATAGATGAAAATCCAGGAAATCCCCAAAATGCAAATATAAAGAAAAGAATATGCAATTCAAGGGGGATAACATAAAGTTATAACCATGAGCTGAATGGAGACAATAACAATTTAAAAGCTTTCCAAAAATTTGAAAACCTCTGAGAGAAAATAAATCTCTTTTCTTGAGCTGAGGTTCTATCTGTAATATCATTTCTGATGCTTACTGTATTTTTCATGTAGAGACTTAAGGAAGGAATTCTGATGGATTGGTACTGTTGACTTCACTAGCAGGGCAAGGCCAAGATGCCTGGAAAGAGCTAGTGAAGCGGTTGATGTGGATCCTATGCTTCATGGACCAATATATTACACTTTCTTCCCTTAACTCTTCTTCCGTATTGATAGCCAGTATTTGAAATATTTTTAAGCCTCTTCTAATTTCTGGGTGTAGGAATCTAGTGGGAACTTTTGACACTGTCCTTACTTTCTTGGAGAGAGTTAATCAATGTGATAAATCTTCGATTTTGGGAGGGATAGTCAGAAGACTATTAATATAGGCATAAATTTCCTGTAACATATGCTGATGATATATGATCATATTATATGATGATATGGAGAAGACAAACAGACAGACAAAGGCCAGTTGTGCTGGAGATCCAAGTCTGTCTTCTAGCATCCCTCAGGGATTTCCTGCTCTGTCAGCTCCTGGAGTGTGACGTTCAAAATGGTGCCTCAGCAACATAAGCAAATGACTACATATCACCCATCTTCCCAAAACAGTATGGAGTAGCGAAGACTGCAAATCCTCAACATGTTTGAGGGCTTTCCTACCCTGAAAAAGGATTTGTTACCAGCACAGGATCCTCCTGTTTATTTCATCACTTACTTTGGCAATCGGATTCCTCTTGGAGTTGTCCTCTCCTTCTCGACAGGCTGCAGCGAACTTGATCCACTCCCGCTTTTGTCTTCTGACAGTTTGCCATGTTGTAGTGCCATTTTCAATGTCTAATTCTTTCACCTTAAGCAAAAATAGTTAACATTTTGTACAGTGTTAAAGCAGTTTTACTTAGTAAAGACATTTATTCAAGGTGCTCCAGGTGAGAAGCAATGGCATTGAATTTCAGGAACAAAGAAGATTTTTACTAATTCACAACTCTAGGTAGACATGACTTGGTCATCCATACTGGTTGCTTCTTTTGGAAGCATCTCACTTCTTACTATATAACTCTAGTGAAACAAACTTCATCAGCTGTGTGTGGAGTTCATAATATGTTATACTGGATAATATGGTATAGTTCTTCTTCTTTCAATCTATCCTCACCAGGTAGAGGCCTTGTTCATCTCATCCTTCATTGAGCTCTGACTAGGCTTTCTGGTCCCCAGAGTTTCCAAGATTGCTGGTGTTCCATGTGAGTGCATCCCATACAAAAGGAATATTGTGCTAGTGAATGTGCTCACCTAAAAGAGGGTAGGGATTTTTGTCTTAGGTTGATAAGAACTCCACTCTGGCCAAGCATCCAAATACATTATTGCAGGATTAGAAGAATATTTTAACTGAATTGATGGTACTTGCCATAATCCCATGGATACTAGTCTGGCTCCTCAATGCTGTCCATCTGTATTTCTGCTTCCTATGTTTTTTTTTTTTTTAAAGATGGGCACCTGAGCTAACATCTGTTGCCAATCTTCTTCTTTTTTTTTCCATCTTTTCCCCAAAGCCCCCCAGTACATAGTTGTATATTCTAGTTGTAGGTCCTTCTAGTTCTGCTATGTGGGATGCCACCTCAGCATGGCGTGATGAGTAGTGCTAGGTCTGCGCCCAGGATCCAAACTGGTGAAACTCTGGGCTGCTGAAGCAAAGCATGCATACTTAACCACTCGGCCACAGGGCTGGCCCCTGCTTGCTATGTTTTTTCCTTTGTAATCTTATGTTGCTATTGTTGGAGGATGTTTAAGACTTTTATACTATTAAACAGTTTAGAAATGTACTGCATCTGTAAATATATTTGTATACATGCATAAACATATGCATATGCATGTATATATTTGTAACTTCTAGTGTATTTATTGAGACCCAGTTGATTGTATGTTTGTTTAAACTAAGGCTTCATTTAACTACCACTTTGGGGGAAGGAGATGTTCCGTGTGAATGGAGTTTGTCCTTTCAAGAACCAAAACATTTACATTTTCCCCTCATTTTGATACAACTTCCTGAAGTGTCCCACATATTCCCTATTCTATCAACAGAGATTAGAAAAGTAATTTTATTATTTAAGCAATTTGAGATCATCATAATGAAAATTTAACTATCATAATGAAACAAAGCCTTGCCAGAGAAAACAGCAGGTTTCTTTCCTGAGTCACACTCTCAATGGTGCCAGATGCTCTGTTGTTCTTTTTAGTTGTGATTACATAGTTTTTTATTTTTGTATCTTTCCCTCATAGATTGACCATCAGTTGTCTTTCTTGCTGAAGTAACTGTCTAAAAATCCTCTTCCCATTCTCATGTGTTACTTTGTTTATTTTGCTTTGCTGTAGATTGGGGAAATGCATAAATAAGCTACCAGTATAGTTTGATAAGTAGAAGTTACTATGACACTGAGCTGTCACAAACCCTGCCTAAAGGCATGGATATGGGGTTTACCATTGCTGTTTCAGTTCGGCAGAGGTTTTTCCTCTTAACTTTTATCTGGATGATTATGGTCTCAAATATTCTGATTTTTGATATATGATGTACTACAAAATTCAGTTTTTCTTTTAATTTTAAATTGAGAAAATAGTTTTATGATACATTACCTCAACAATAAATTCACTGTTAACTTCCAGCACCACCTGTTATAGAAGACACAACGTTAGCATAAATAAGCAGAATTTAAAGGAATCAGTGTCGTAAAAACACTGGTAATGTTCTCTTATTAATTCATTTCTTAAATAGACATTTTGTTAGTAATATGGAATAAACATGATGATACAAAATGAATAATACAGGCTTTTTGGTCTCCAGGGGCTTTTACACTTTTAGGGAAGATAAACGCATAGGTCTACAGCAGGGCGGTTAGGGTGCGTGCTTTGACAGAGGCACCAGTGGGCGGAGGGGAGGAGCGGAGCAGACACCTCAAGTTATTAAAGTGAATTTTGGAGAGGCCTCATAGGAGAGTAGGGATTTCAAATGTTTCTGTAGGATGAAGCTACTTTGATAAGAGGAATTGATGGGCAAGAAAATTCAGCCGGAGTAAAATATGAAGACAGGTTTAAAGGCACTAAGTTTCAGAGGATGTTCCAGAAATGTGAATAATGTTATGAGCTGGAAGGTAGAGGAGGTAGTGAGGAGACACGGGAGACAAGGTTTGGAATGTCAGTTTGGAGGCAGACCATGAGGTGCTTTATGTACCAGACTAAGGAGTTTGGACTTTATTGGGTAGGGAACAGGAGTAGCAAAAACATTGTTTTAAAAACATGCCGTTGATATGAATGGATGATTACAGAGGAAAAACGCTTGAAGTTGAGACACTTAGGAATTAGTAGTTACTTTGGTAAGACATAGAACGTGAACATGGGTGCTGGAGTGGCAGTGGAAAGGAGAGAGAATGGAAACAGTACCAAAGAACGGAAATGGCTTATAGAATGTGAGGAACAGTCAGATGATTTGGGTGAAGTAAGCTTGGCTTTCTGAAAGAATGGAAGCACTATTACTAGAAACAGAAAATTCCATGAGAGACTATCACTGCAGGGAGATGATGGCTTAAGTTTGTTTTGTTTATTTTCAATGTGCTTCTAAAATTTGAGATAGATGTAAAAGCTGAAGAAGTGGAATTTATCCAAACAGGAGTGCTATGTAAAGTTGAAGGAAATGAGGATATTACATGAAACAATTTAAGAAGATAAATGAAGTAGGGAGGGAAGAAAATCTTCTGGGAAACGCTTATATTTGTGCAGGAAAAGGAAGAAGTCTAAAAGTGGAGGGCTCTGGGAGACCAAAAGAATAGTGAAGTCAAAGGTGGTGGCACAGATCAGATTCTGTTAGTGTGAGAACAGCAAGAAGTGGTGGTTGTTACGGTGGAGGGTTAGTAAAGAAGTTAAATTCAGAAAGGAGAAGAGATTAGATAAGGAAGCGGAGAAGAAGTAGCCAGAAAGGAGGCTGAATGAATGGAGTAGAGTGACAAGAAGTTAGACAAAGAGTGAATATTTAATGGTTTATGTGTCATAGCAAGGTCAAGGAGAATGGGAACTGAGGAGGCCGTGGGATCTTAAAGCAGGCAGTCGTTATCGACTTTGCCAGTGGCATAAGTCAAATTGCAGGAGTCAAGGAATGAGCTTATTGAGAAAGTAGAAGTGGCATTCCTAGATCACGTTTTCAAGTTAAGAGATAAAAGAAATGTGAGAGGTATGGTGCAGTTTGAAGAGTTAACTAGATCGACATATTTTTTAGGGTGGGAAACCATGACCCATATACAGTCTACAGAAAGAGGAGATGGGGTTTGTGGAGAAAGAGTGCTAGAAGGAGAAGGGAGAAAGGGAGGGGGAGAAGGAAGAAGAAATCAAGGCGTAGTTACAATTATAGTTAAGAGCCAATAGGAATGGCTGAATCGAAAGCGCAGGTAAAAGAGACCTGATAATGAGGAAGACTGTTTCTGCCTCGGAAACAGATGTCAGAATACATAAAGACAGAAAATACTTTTGAGGTGTAAATGGAGGAAAATTGTGTATTTACTTATTCCATAGTTGGCGGAGTTGGAGTGAGGGAGAATGGGGAGGGGATTGTGGAGACCGTCAAGAGGGAAGGTGACAGGGTACCAACTAAACGCCGTGACTAAGAGAGAGAGCCGTAGGCCCGCCTAGCATTCTCGAGTTAGGGAACACTTGAGCACAGAAAATTGGAAACTGAGCAAATAAACTATTCTTCCGTAGCTGATGAAGAGTTGGGGCACCAGTTGAGATTAGGAAGCAAGAATATGATGTGTGGCCCATCTCTTTTGTGCCTTCTCTAGGAGAACTTAGCAACCTGGGAGTGGGAGGAGAAGGAAGGTGAGGGCTGGCCAAGAGTTGGGGATTATTATCTAGTCAGTGCGGAAACTCGGGGAGGTGATAAGATACTATTGTGAACTTCAGGAGTCAGGGAGCAGAGTAAAACCAGGGAGCGCCAATGAGCTGAGACTAGACAGAGACTGTGACAAATGGAGTGGGTATAAGAGGGAATGGAAGGTGTAGATTGGGATTTGGAATGATAGCTGAATCCAGAAGCGGGAAAAATACAGATTAGAAATTTTGCAGTAGGGCATCCTCTTAATGCACTTTCTCCCTCATGTGTGATTTTATTAGACATTAGTAAAATATCTAGACCTGGGAAAGAAGTTCAGTATTTAATAGAAGATAGTTTTATTTTGTTGCATAGGATGCTTCATTTCATAATAAATATTGCATTTGGGGGCTTAGATACTCTTTTTTGTTAGAAACGTAGATCATTCTGGAAGGTAGAAGAAAAAGTAAAAATCACAGAGAATCCCACTACTAGGAGATTACCACTGTTAAATTTGGAGAAATTCTTTCAGACACTTTTTCCAAAAACACATACTCACACAAATTGTAATTTTTTTAACCATAAAGAAATTATATTATACACACCATTTGGTAATTTGCTTTTTGCACTCACTGGTTATCATGGTAAAGTTCCGTGTCAATTAACACATGTATAATGAGATATAATGATGCACACCTGAAATTTATATAATGATATAAACCAAATGTGATCTCAATAAAAAAAAGAATGACTTGTATTAAGGAAATACAAATTAAAATAAAAATGAGCTATCACTACACACCTATTAGAATTGCTACAAACAAAACTCTGACAACCCCAAGTGTGAACTCTCATGCACTGCTGGTGGGAACGTGAAATGGTACAGCCACATTGGAAAACTGTTTGGCACTTTCTTGTACAATTAAACATTACACCATACAACCCAGCTGTCCCACTCCTACATATTTACCCAAAAGAAATGAAAGTATATGTTCACACCAAAACATACTATATAATTCCGTTTCTATGATATTCTCGAAAAGGCAAAATTATAGGCCATAGATAAGTGGTTGCTAGGGTCTGGGAGTAGGGTTATGGGTTGACCGTAAAGGAACACAAAAGAACTTTACTGGGTGATGGAAATGTTCTGCATCTTCATTATGGTGATGATTACACAGCTGTGTGTGACAAAAATCATAGCACTGTATACTTAAAAGGGTGAATGTTATTGTATATAAATCACATCTCAATAAATCTGACTTCTAAGAGGAAAACCCCAGGTACAGACGTCAGACATTTTGAAGGTTGCCTTAATGTATCACTTTAATAGATGCCTTCCATTCAGATCATTGGGAGACTAGGCTAACAAAGAACTGATAGCTTCTGCAGTTTAAAGCTGCAGACTAAACTGTGACTTGTGGTTTTCTGGCACTGTCCTCCCGTGGGAGGTTAGCCGGAAGCACTGCCTCAGTGGATGCTGGCAGGTTGGTGAGCTCGGCACATGAGCCCATGGTTAAAAAGTTCTCTCTCCTTGTCTTCAGCTTCCTGTTTGTCTGTCTTTCTTTCTCTCTGCTCCACTTCTTTTCTTTGATGTGTTCTTCCATCTGTTCCTCTCCCCCTCCCTGACGTTGTCTTAGGCCTGACAGAGAATCACAATAGCCTCGTTATGCTGTTTACTCTCAGAGCTATAATCAACCCAACAACCTAATTTTAACTGGGCAGTAGTGAGAGTGAGTCCTAGCTCACCCTCTCACGATTCTCCTCCTAGTTCTGCTCATGATTCAATCAGAGATGTGGCAGGTGATTTTTCACTGTATCCTCACCCTGGTTTCTGTGTGCTTACAACAAGCCTGCAAGGTTAATATTGTATCTGTGCAGTTAGAACACCCAGCTCAAGAATGGACTAAATCACAATTCTGCTGATGTTTTTTGGTTAAATTAATTAAACAAGGAGACCATTAGACTGAGGTGGCTCTGATGCCATGGTGTATACTTAAGCAAACCAAAATCTAAGCCTGTAAATTTCTCAAGGTTATGAAATTGAAACCTAAGGACCGATCCCAAACAGCCAACTAGGCTTTAAGCTATTGCCAGTCAGCAATGTCCTTACTTTGTTTCCAGCTTTTCTCAATAAAAATTTTTCCCCATCTTCCATTGGTGGAGCATCTCTAACCACTTTTGGTTTGTCGATGTCTGATTCTAATAGATTTTCCCTCAAATAAATTCTTAAAATTTTCATATGCCTCAGTTTATGTTTTAACAATTCATTTACTCAACACCTAAAGTTTCTCTTAAATCACCTGATGTTATTTTACCAAATTGCTCTGGTTTTGCTTAAACTTTGCTATCATATAATTGTGGCCGTGGCTCTGGGAAAATATTGATGTTTGTGTTGACTACTCCTAATACTGTCTTGCAGAGGTATTCAAAAGATTTTGCTTTATGTAGTTCTAAAATATTTTTGAAAAAGTGATGTGCTTTAAAATTTTCTATAGTGACATCTAAAAAATTTCATTATAAGTTTAAATAGCTGCAATGGATGGAATTTAAGAATATTGTAAATGTTGATATTTTAAAATAAAGCTGCTATGTTACTTTTTAAATATAACCAACAGAATCTAAATGTTGTAGTTGTTTGATGCCAAGTTCTATCCATTAAAAAAGTGATGAATAAGTTCTTCTTTAATAGTTGGAAATTTTATTTCATTTCTGTTTCTCCTTGAACTCCTATATCTTATTTCCTTTTAGTGAGCCATATCCTCTATAGGTTCATCCTACTGGAATGTATTTTTTAAGCTTTAAATATATATATTTT